TCTCTCAAGATGTTAGCTACAATCAAATGATAAACTTTGTCTAGCAGCTTTTTTCTTAAGTGTCAGGTAACATCTTTTTTGACTTTTTGTTTTCATAAAAGTTGGCCCCACCCTCCCCTCCCAACTAGTCAACAGTACTATCGGTGAAGCGGGACGCGTAAACACTGCTTCTTGACCAAGTCTGTTTCAGTCTGGCGCGCATCACTGAGAAGTTCACCGGAGCCAGCTTATAATGTTGAATTAGTTACCAACCATACATGCCAAGATTTCAATGACGAATTGTTCCGTCGACAACATGATACACTACAATATTGTCGCTGAGTTGGATCGCAGAAGGAATTTAAAACTGACACAGCGTTATCGAACAGCAAAGGTAAGATCGTGATTCCTTTAATTATGCTTTGTTTTTAGCGCGAATGCTCTTGATAGCGCCGTTCCGCTTTAATCAACCACAATTTACCTGCCGAGTGTACTAATTTCGAAATTTTCCTTAATTTAGACAGTGACTAAATAACTCTTAACAATTTCTCTTTGACAAACCGGAATCCTGGTATTCGAGTCTCAGAGAACACTGAATATGAGACTCGAACAAAACAGTAATGTTGAGAGTTAATTCATCGGCTCATCAAAACGCTTTTATCTGTTAGATCGCGAATAAGACAATGTAACTTTTTTTATGTATGTTGAACAACTCTTTTCTGTACTTCTGTGATTTGTATCCCAAACAAGGATTTCGTTCCGGGGTATACTGACGAGGTCGTTTATCGAGCAAGACACTCTTAGAGGGAAGATAAAGCTCAGGTTCTCGAAGTTTTTATCGACATAACCACTGCATATTGGTGATTCTAGCTAGCTGGTATTCAGTTCATTGACTCGCCAAGCACTTCGCCCTTCGTAAGTAACTTTGGGAGTTTAACACAACAGGTACCATCGTGATCAGACTTTGTAGCCTTTGCAAGTGCCTGTTCCAATTTTCTCTTAGACTATGAAAATACATTCGCTCCGACGAAGGGCTAACGCTCGAAACGTCAGCTTTTGTAATCATTACGGTGGCAAATTTACCATTTCAACTTTGGATACAATGAAATATATGAAGTTCATATATTTTGAACTGCGGTATTAGATACGTATGATGCACGATCCTCGCAGTAGATAGCGCTATTTAAGCAATAGCGAAAATCAGACCTGAAAAAAATCAGGCCTGTACGGGATTCGAACCACTGACCTCTGCGATACTAGTGCAGCGCTCTACCAATTGAGCTAACAAGCCAACTGGGAGCAGGCCGTTAAGTTGATTCGTAATAAACCCGTGAAAGTGATAAATCAGATACAATGAAATATATGAAGTTCATATATTTTGAACTGCGGTATTAGATACGTATGATGCACGATCCTCGCAGTAGATAGCGCTATTTAAGCAATAGCGAAAATCAGACCTGAAAAAAATCAGGCCTGTACGGGATTCGAACCACTGACCTCTGCGATACTAGTGCAGCGCTCTACCAATTGAGCTAACAAGCCAACTGGGAGCAGGCCGTTAAGTTGATTCGTAATAAACCCGTGAAAGTGATAAATCAGATACAATGAAATATATGAAGTTCATATATTTTGAACTGCGGTATTAGATACGTATGATGCTTTATTACGAATCAACTTAACGGCCTGCTCCCAGTTGGCTTGTTAGCTCAATTGGTAGAGCGCTGCACTAGTATCGCAGAGGTCAGTGGTTCGAATCCCGTACAGGCCTGATTTTTTTCAGGTCTGATTTTCGCTATTGCTTAAATAGCGCTATCTACTGCGAGGATCGTGCATCATACGCATTTCAACTTTGTTGATATATCCAAATTATTTCGTTACTCCCACCGACGCAGCCCCAAACAGTTTCTTTCGAAACTATCAGCCTTTATTCATATGAAAATACAGAACATTTTAGGATCTGTTGAAGTTCATTCATTGGCGCAAATGAGGTGACTCGTAACTTAAGATTCTCTCGTATAGCATGAAATTTGCCTAAATTGTCGGTAGCGTCTCATGTTTGTCTTAATATGATAAATTGGCCCCAAATGTGAACATTATGAACAATGCCTGGGGTGGTTTGGTTAATAGAAATCTACAGCAGCCAGAGACCGAGCTGTCAAATACTCCCGCCATATCAATTTGATTCAGCCAACAAAAAACTACATCATTCCTGTGGTCAGCTCAACCCATGGAATCGACAGTTCTTTTGTTTACGAGCCTACGGAAAAGAATAACTTCTTACAAGAATACAGAAAAACTATTTCTGTATCATAGCTGTGGCTTGTTCCTCGTACGCCTTCTTCACCATTAGAATTTTACATTCTAGACTTGATACGTTCGCTCAGTTCGTCTTTTTTCTCTCTCTTGAGGACTTCAATTTAGTCTGTACTAAAGAATTTGGAGAACTCTTTTTTCTATAAAACGAAAACCTTCACCTTCGGCTGTCACTGATGTCGATACCACAGTTTGAGCTGAAGAAGTT